CCCCAGCCTCTTGTTCATAGCTCTCCAACATCCTCCCAATTCCAGCCACATTCTTTCCCCACTCTTCTCGCTGTCACACAAGTTTAGCCTCCAAATCTGGATGTCAGCAGGCACTGTTTGTCGTAATTACTCCACCAACCTCACCCCACAAAGAATCTGTTTTCAAACAGACGCAAACTCATTAGCTGTTTTACAGACTTGTTGTTACACTGATGGCTCATTTGTTTCAGGATCCAAAGTGAACTTCTGGAAAAGCTTTCAGCTTTCAGCTGTAGAGAACTGGTGTGGTGTAATACAGCGAGATATTTTTAGGGTTTTATTTTTCTTCTCATAAATAATAGTAATCAGCCTTTGTATGTGTTGAAAAGATCACAAGGAGATGACACTGTAGCACGGAGGCTTGGCTGCAATGGAAAGAGCAGCACGTCGTTATTTTTGGGGACAGGTGCAGGGTGATCATCACTCGCCTGGTGATTAGCACAGTGGATTTTGTGTTGGGTGAGCAGCAGCAGAAAGGAATCACAGATCCAGCCAGGTGATCTGCTATTCCCTGCTGCAGAGCTTTGGCTCTGGAAGAAAGAGAATTGGAAGGAAAACACTGTTGAAATATTTGCTAAGGAGACTGTGGCTTATCTGGAACATCTGTCGCTGAGCAAGCCATGGCTGTTGAGTTTATATACTTCAACATAAGTGCTTAATAAAAATTAAAAGGAAAAAAAGAAAAGAGGGAAGGGATTAATGTTTTAAACAGCTCTTCTGAAGCAGAACCACACAGAGGACACGGAGGGAAAGGAGAGCAGTTCACCACCTCTCCTTTGGTGACAAGGGTGGAAACCACTCCCTCTGAGCTCATATCCCAGGATCCCTTTACAGCCTCTGAGGAAAAACAGGCACTTTTAAGGCATGATTCATGTGCGCTGTTTATGTGTCTACTTCAGGAGGAGATAAATCATGCCTGGTACTCCATGCGATGCAGTGATGGCACTGGGAAACAAAACACTGCCAGTGCCCTGCCACCAACTGGGACGTTTCCTCGGTATTAAAGTCTTCTCACCTTCACAATAGGGGGCCCCATCTCAACAGCCTGTTGGTACACTGCTTATCTTACCACTAACCCATGCCAGAGAATGGTTTGAGAAGGACATGAGGCACAGCTGAGCCAAGGAATGGGTAGAACTTTCCCAAGGTGTTCCCCAGAAAGCATTCACTCAGATAGTGGCTATTCTGGGCACATCTTCCCCAGTTCTGAAGTAGAGACATCTGCATTTAGTCAGCCAAATCTTTTCTAAATGTTATTTTAAAAGGCTGCTGGCAATGTATTCTTGTCTGATTTTTTTATTATTTTTTCCCAGAAAAGCACAGTAACCATTATGAAGACAAATGTAAAAACAAGCAGAGGAAAATAATAAAAGAGATGCAGACAGTGCCCCTAAAAATTTAGGTTATTAATACCTGAACATCTTTTGACTACATGTTATTGACATGAAGATAAACAATTGTAATGAACAGAAATATCTTCATGCTGGAGATTGAGAGAGGGGAGGATCCTTATAAACAGGACAGAGTGACTTTTCACATGGTCTGACAGTGATAGCAAAAGGGGGGAATGGTTTTAGACTAAAAGAGGGGAGATGAGGATCTCTTTTAGGGGGAATTTCTTTGGTGAGAGGGTGATGAAGCAGTGATACAGGCTGCCCGGAGAGGTTGTGTATGCCATCCCTGGAGCTGTTCAAGGCCAGGTTAGCCATCTGATGCCTGATTAAATGTTTGGCACCCATGTCCAGGGCAGGAAGTTGGAACTAAGTGATCTTTGAGGTCCCTTCCAACCCAAGCCATTCCATGGTTCTATGATTCCACAAAAGGAGTAAGTTCCAGAGAAGAGTCATGGAGATGAAGAAACATAAGAAAGAGTGTGACTGCTCCAAAGCAGGTGATATGCCTGGGATAGCCAAGGGTGGGACACAGCAGTCACCACTGGAGGTGTTCCAGAACCATGTGGAGATGTGGCACTGAGGGATGTGGTCTGTGGGCATAGTGGGAGTGGGTTGACAGCTGGAGTTGCTGATCTTAGAGGTCTTTTCCAAGCTTAACGGTTCTATGATAAACCTGAAGTTTTTTCTGTACCCCGTTTTCTCTGATTTTGGGATTAGACTCTCCCTTCTTTATGCACCATAAGAGGCTGTAGGTTTTTTCTTATCACAGCTGCATACGGAGCAGATGCTTCAGTGGTGTAGAATGTGCAAACATCACGATGTTCCAAGTTCAGAGAGGAACTGGGGAGATCTTGGAAGAGACTGAACCCAGAAGGGATTCCCTCCAATCTTCTCACATGCAGACACACACAGCCTCCCTGCCATGGGGCTCCATACTTTGCTTTGGAATTCACCCAACAAAGGGATAGGGCTGCTGCCACACAACCAGGATGGTGGATTTTTATGAGAGGTGGTCTGGGGAGACCTAGAGAGCCTGGCATACATCAGATCTCGATGATTATTATTGCTACCATGCAAAACAAGAGCAGCCACACAGAATAATTCAACTCAAATTGAGCTGTACTGACAGTGAGCTTAAGCCCAAGCACTTCTGTAATTCTCTGCTCAGTAAATTATATCCTCCCATTAACTTTTTAGACCAGAAGAGACTTACTTAATTTTTGTGGAGGGGTGCTGGAAGTCTTTGTTGTGTTTCAACAAGTGTTCAAGTATCAGGAGATATGCAGTGGGGGCCTGGCTGCAATGGGGAACAAGTTTGAGATGATTCTGGGATGATTACATATTGCTTCTCATGTTGGTTTCTTTATGATTCAGCTTTTTCCATCCAGTGTAGTTCAGGTTGGAGAAATTAGGAGAAATTTCTCTTCCAAAAGACTGGTGATGCATTGGCATAGGCTGCCCAGGGAGGTGGTGGGGTCACTGGAGGTGTTCCAGAGCCATGGAGATGTGGCACTGAATGGACGTGGTGGGCATGGGTCAATGGTTGGATTTGGTGGTCTTTTCCGATCGTAGTGATTCTGTGACCCTGTGATTCAGCTCCTTTTGCCCTGGTATTGTTTACCTTTTTAATAAGTCCCTTCACTACCTAACACATCTAAAAACATTCATGCATTGAACCTTACTAAACTTACTTCAACCTTCTTTCTTCTCTGAGCTACAAAATGTGACCAGTTGGCCAACTGTCAGTCCCAGTGGCTTTGATGCTTGGGGATGGCCAAGTCCAGCAGCAGTGTTACAGCAGTGATGGTCCTCCTCTAGCATTTTTCCTCACATTGTGCCACAGCAACACCACTTTGTCTCCATTTTTGAAGATCTGCCAGGTGGAAAAGGAGAGGGGAAAGCAATCTTCATCTTCACTAATTAATTTTTTCTGCCACTCAGCACTGATGTGTTGTTGATCAAAAGCCTATCTTTGGTCACAATGAGGAAAGGGTTTGTAGATCTCGACAGACTGCCAAGCCCCAGTGCAGCACAGAATTAAGTGAAGAAAAGACTAGGATCCTACAGGTGTTGGAATAATGATTTATGAGCATTTCACACCAGAGAATTGTGCAGCACTTTTCTGTCCTAACCACTAATTACAACTGCAGGCCCTCTGCTGAGGTGCCAAGATGCGTTGTAGCAGCAATTAGAATTTTTCCCTCAGCACTTTTTATCCCCAATGGAAAACAGCTTCTTAGTGAAAAGAGAATGTTTATCAAGATGCCTTTTTTCATAGAAAGGAAAGATTCCCTATTTTTTTTTTTTCTGAAAAAACTTAAAAACAATCTTTTCACTCTCACTTCTCATAGACAAAAAAGTAAGCATAGATTAGATACAAACTATTCAGTGTAAATAGATTAGTCCAATACAATTACATAGTCATATTTATTTTTTTATAAGAAAAGCCTGAAGGATTACAAAAACCAAAAACAGCAATATTCCTCATGGTGCCTGTTTCTTTGGTTGCAGAACTAATTGCTCTCCAGCAGTCTTTGCCTTTTTCCTAACAGCCACAAATCAGCCCCACAAGAGAAAAGAGGACCCGGGAGTCTTTGCAACAAATTCTGTGTGTTAAAAAGCCCTTTACCTATACCCAAACATGCAGTTCACTACGCTCTGGCCTTACAGCTCCTAGGAGTGTCATCACCATTTGGCACCGTTTGGGCTGAGTTTTCTCTTGGGAATCAATTTCTAAAGTTACCGTCTCCAAGTGCTCAGTCTTGATGCTAAATGTGAAAGGATGTGCCAATGCTAATATTGTTATTGACATTTCTGTATAGGAAAAAGACAGACAATGAAAAGAATATGAGAAACATTCAGCATAGAATTCCTGTAGATAGCCACGGGGCAGGAATCTTTCTGTATCGTTACAAATAATGGAGATCTAGTGAATGCTATTGACATACATCAGGCACTACTGAAGTCCACATAAAAGTAGGCATTTAAAATAGAGCCAATCATGGCTGAAAACATCTATTTTTCCTCTTTGGCTACAAAGGGAGTCCAGAGCTTGAATTTTGACATCTAAGATGACTTTGGAATGTCCTTGGGGAAAAAAAAACACAACAGATAACTCAGAATATATCTTCCTTTTCATGTTGTATCCCACCAGGTATTGTTGCTTAGCCTTGTTACAGCATTTTCCATTTGTTCATATTCCTTTTTGCAAAAGTGCTTCTTCAGCCTAGTCATGTAGACAGTAAGGGAGAATGTTGCCCCACTGGGGATCAAGCAATAAGGTATATTGTTTCCTTTGATAATCTACCTTGTCCCATTTCTTGTGCCTTTCATGGAACTCAGTTTTTTCTCTGCTTATGGTTAGTCTGAAACTGTCACCCAAAATCAGTCACTTGGGTCACCTATGGGTTGACTGAGCACTAACTCGTGGAGTAAAGGCGTCACGCAATTTGTGGCTAGGGCTGAGAAAAGGCACTTCGATGAGAAAAAGATGCCCAGAGACAACTGCGTCTCAAAGCAAAAGATCAAAGGGAATTCCTGATCAAATTCAAATGGGAGGCTTAATAATTCATTGAGAAGAGATGCGTCAGATTAAGGAATTCATTGTTGCAGAGGAATAGGAAAACCAAGAGCCAGAATCAGGTCCAGGAGATTGGACATTTCAAGGGACAGCAGGTATGTCTGGGATATTAAGGTCAGATCAAAATGAGTTGGAAAGGAGGGAAGGAAATTGGTATTGAAGGTAGCCTGATTTCTGCACTCTTGGCAGTGCTTCTTGGCGTTGCTGTAGTGGTGCCTGGGGTAGCAAAGGGTCCATCACAACCAGCTGTTCTCCTGGACCTGCTCATCTGGGCAGACTTCTGTAAGACATCTGACAAACTACAGAAAAAAAAGAAAAAAGGAAGAAAGAGAGAGAGGTTTTGGGTTTTTTTGCCTTTTTTCTTGGCCCAGAAAAGGGACAGAAGAGGCTCAAAGGGCTGTGAGCCAGACAGCTCTCTGACTGTCACAAATTGTTACTGCCAAATAAACAGCATTGAGTTTTAGTCCAATAAAGAAGGGTACACACGCTCAGGCATTACTTAATCCCTGATTTAGGATGTTGCTCAATAAAAATAGGCCTAGTGGCTCTCTCTATCATCTCAGCTGCTGCAAAGCCCTCTGCTTCATCCATCCATCCATCTCATTGTTTGGAGTTGGGAGCATGGCAGTGCCTCAGTGGAGGACAATTACCTGGGAGCTGCACTGTGGGTGGGAGAAGCCATGAGGGCAAGTCTTGTGGAAGCCACAGGTCACAAACAACTGGGGCAAGGGTGGGCTATATCGTGGGTTGCTCTGCTGATAGGTATCTCAGAGTTGGCTCTACCTTGGCATCCATGTGGACATTTTGAACTGAAGCTGCTACAGGGTTGATAAGCACACAGTGATGGGTTTTATGTCACAGAATCATAGAATCATTTGAGTTGGAAGGGATCGTTAGAGGTCATCTAGTTCAACTCCACTGAAGTGAGCAGGGGTATCTATAGCTAGATCTGGTTTATGGTTACTTGGTTCAGTATTCTCTCCATGACGTAGAAAGAGCTATAGAAGGCACTATAATTATTTCAATCCCTTGTACTAAACTTGTGGCCTAAACTTAGAAACATGAAGTTTCTGAACTAGCTGATATCTCTTTTTTTTCTGATAATCAGTAATTATGGAGTGATTATTTAGATAGGACAGATTCCGTGGCCTTCAAAGTACTTACTGAGTGTATATTGAGAGTTCTTGTTTTGTACCCATCTATCATGGGGGATCATCTACCTGGGGGTTAAGCATTCAAGATCAGGTTGAATGAGACCCTGGGCAGCCTGATCTGTTGGCTGACAATCCTGCCTATGACAGGGAGTTGGAACTCAATGATCTTCAAGGTCCACAGCATAAGGCATCCACAACCTCTCTGATCAGCAGTGCCAGTGCCTCACCTCCCCCTGAGTAAAGAATTTCTTCCATCTAGCCTAAATTTCCCCTCTTTTAGTATAAAGCCCTTATCACTAGCACAGACAAACTCAAATGAGCTTTTTGAGATGTATTTGCAGATTCTATTGTTGAGTTTTTTTTCCTTAGCACATTTCTCTCAAGGATGCTAAGAGGAGATACTGATATGTATTTCGATAAGTAGTCATCTGGGTAAAACTCTGGCAAACATAGTAATTTCAGTGTGATGTCTCTCTTTCCATTAAAACAGATGGTCTTTGTGGACCATTTTAGGCAGAAAATGGCTTATAGACCTGGCAATTACCATAAAGTCTCCAAGATTCACTAAAATAAGATGTTGGAAATGCACAGAATTGTATAATTTGCACACAGCCATAGAAGGCAACATCAGAGGTGTGGTACAATCCATGCTGTGGGAAAATGGGAAAAGAAGAGAAGCCAACCCAGCACTGTAAGCAATAAAAAGTGCATTTCTGACAGTCTAATGTAGGGTGAGCCTCAGTTGATAGGATGAGAAGTAATGGCCTTAACTTGCACCAGCGGATGCTCAGGTTGGGTATTGGGAAATATTTCTGCTCTGAAAGAGTGGTGATTCAGTGGCACAGGCTGCCCAAAGACGTGGAGTCACCATCCCTGGTGACTGGTGGAGTCACCATCCCTGGAGGTGTTCCAAAACTGTGGAGATGCAGCACTGAGGGACATGGTCAGAGGGCATGGTGGGGTGGGTTGGGGTTGAACTTGTGCATCTTAGAGGTCTTTTCCACTCTATGATGGGCTTAGTCTTTCTATTGCCCAACTGCTTGCAGTAGTGAGGAAGGGAAAGAGGCTGGTGCTCTGCGATGGTACAGTGGCTGACCAAGCCCCCCCAAGAGCACAGCCTTGCTCTTGCCAAGTCACCCTAGTAAGAGCCTCCTCCCATGGCCCAAGCTGTCTGCATAGCCTCCTGTGAACAATGAGACAGATAATGCATCACTGCAGCAAAAGCTGGAAAGACCTGAGAATGCCTTTAATGTGATTACAGAAGGGAGCCAACTCCTTGTGTACTTGGCCCGGCTTTCCTGGCACTGGCTGAGGAATGCTGGCACGTCAGCTCCTCCAGAGCTATTAGTGGTGTCGCACACTCCAGAGCTGCAGAGAATACGTGCACTGTGCTGCAGCAACCCTGGAGATGCCACCAGGCCACGTTGTTGCACAATGCCCACCAAACCAGGGCAGGACTCTGGTTTTTGGTCTGAGGGCTGGGCAGGCCAGACATTCAGAGACTCGCCAAGCCTTGCCACCTCCCCCTTATCCACCTCCCTTTCCTGCTCCAAAGGTTTGTTTGCACTTGCCTACGTGCAACCAAGGTCGGAACCTGGTAGCACTGACTGGGTGTAGTCTGTCTGGGAGGATGGACACCCCAAACACCCTGAGCAAGTCATAGTAACTCACGTACCCTTTTTCCTGCCAGGAGTCTGTAGTGTGTGCTGCTCTCCCTAAAGCCATTTAGCTGCTGGACTTGAATCTACAACACTAATTCACTGTCATGTCTCACATCAATGCCTTCAGTTTTATGGCTTTTTACGAGGGTGGATAATCATAGGACAAGGGGGAATGGTTTTAAACTGAGACAGGGGAAGTTTAGGTTAGATATTAGGAGGAAGTTCTTCCATGCAGAGGGTGGTGAGGCACTGGAACAGGTTGCCCAAGGAGGCTGTGGCTGCCCCCATCCCTGCAGGCATTCAAGGCCAGGCTGGATGTGGCTCTGGGCAGCCTGGTCTGCTGGTTGGTGACCCTACACATAGCAGAGGGGTTGGAACTGGATGAGCATTGTGGTCCTTTTCAACCCAGGCCATTATATGATTCTATGATTCTATGATTTGGATGCTGCTCTGAGCATACATCTTGCTGTAGGAACTCAAAGCGAAGAGTCTCCATGGTCTCCATGCAGGTCTCCATGCAACAGAGAGATTTTCATCAGAGACCAAAGCAGCCTAGTGTAGACTTTTTCCTTCACAGCTTCCAGATTTTGGACCCATGAATTCTGCTATCGGCCCTACAACAACAGTGATTCTCTGACTCTATGAGGTGTTCAAGACCAGGCTGGATGGGGCCGTGAGCAACCTGGATAATCTTAAAGATCCCTTCCAACCCAAACCATTCTATCATTCTCTGATTTCCAGGAAAGTGGTGGAGTCACCATCCCTGGAGGTGTTCAGGAAAAGGGTGGAGGTGACACTGAGGGACATAGTTCAGTGGGCATGGGAGGGATAGGCTGATGGTTGGACAAGATGATCTTAGTGGTCTTTTCCAACTTTGATGATTCTGTGATTACCAATAAAAGTTGCACATAAACTGGAAAAGTTCCTGGCTCTGGGCTTGCAGCTATCTCTACCATTAAATGGGCAGTGTGGTCCCTATGTGCTTTTTGCTCAGGCCAAAGAGCCTTCTCCCTTACTCAGAGACATCATGCATCTGAGATCACTTTCAACCAACAGTTTGGATGCAGACACCTTCTTTTGGAGGGTACAGCATGAATGTACATTGCTGCATGCATCACAGCATAAGAACAGAGAGAACAGTGAGCAGAGAACAGTGCAGGATGATATGATTCACCCGTAACACCTCTGCAAAGCATTGAGTCTCCACCACTTGGCTGGAAAAGCACCTTCAGCCTTGGGCACTGTCTGTAACCAATATCCTTCCTGTGGTCACAAAGATGCCCAGAGCTGAACAGCCAACAGCCAGCACAGACAAACGGGCCTTCTTTGGGAGATGTCTGCTTCAAGAGGTGATCCCCGTGCTCCTATTTCTCTGCACTGATCCCTAAGCTCAGATGACATGAAGCCCACTGAGGTGCATCTGTAGATGCAGCATTGTCACAGTGCCCTGACCCCCACCACAATGGCTACACTCCTCAAGGGACAACTTTCCTGCCTAAAGCCATGCTAGCTTCTATCTTTGCTGTGCCCTAACTGTACATTGGCATCTGTCATTCATAACTGACCTCAGCAACTGGCCGTGCTGCTCAGCATGTCCCACGCAATGGGGTACGTGAGGTGCACCTCGGAGCAAACAGACACTGCTGCTGTGCTGCAAGCTGAGGTTTCTCTGCTTTCAGCTGTGGCTGCTGGCACATACAGTGCAGAGGAGGAGAGACAGCATTCAGCCCATACCTGCCTGGCCCACACCATTGGCACAGCATGCAGAGGGCACAAATATTCATTTCCCTGCGGTCCACGAGTGGTAGCATCACCCCAGTGGACGTGACCTGGCAGAAGTGAATCCCACATCCCCAGTACTGAGGCAGCAGGCTGAGGGATGTGGGATGACCATTTGTAGCAGAAACATCTCAGGAACATCCACCAAAACTCTTCTCTGACATCAAAGATGGGAAGAATGAGTTCAGCTTTCAGTGATTTTTTTCCCCAGATGGGAGAGAAGAGCAGAGGGCTGGACCATGGCTCCAGGATGTGTCTTTGCTAAATCTGGCCGGGAAAATGCTGGGATTAGAGATTGGACACATCTGGATCTGGCACCGAGAGCAGAATGCACACAGGATTCTGGAAAGGAGCAGGTTGGCCTGACCTGGGAGATTTGGTGTCCCAGGTCTCCAAGTTGCAGTAGGGGTGACATGCCAAGACTTTGCCTCCCTCATAAAATTAATGGGCTGTATAGGGCCACTGTGTGGTCTTGTATTTTATCACTGATCAGGGCTCAGCAGCATGCTGAAAGATAAAAAATAAAAATAAAAAAATAAAAATTGAAAGAGAAAAATGAAAGAATAAGCCAAATTAAAAAAAAAAAAAAAAAAAAAAAGAAAGAAAGAAAGAAAAGGGGAAAAAAAAATCAATCACATCATGGCCTGGAACAGCTGTACTGGAAATTCAGTCAAGTCTTCAAGCAAAAAGCTGATGATTTGCCAG